ACGTGTTTCATACATATTTTTACATCCAGAAAGGTTATACAGTGGTACCTCTGGTTAAGAACTTAATTTGTTCCGCAGGTCTGTTCTTAACCTGAAACTGTTCTTAACCTGAGGTACCACTTTAGCTAATGCGCCGCAGCACAATTTCTGTTCTCATCCTGAAGTATACTTCTTAACCCGAGGTACTATTTCTGGGTTAGCGGAGTCTGTAACCTGAAGCATTTGTAACCCGAAGCGTTTGTAACCCAAGGTACCACTGTATTAACACTTGACTCTGAGTAGAAAGATTCTGCAACCATGTCAAGCCTCCATCGGACGGGTACCCTGCTCAGCTGTTTGGACTTTCTTTAAACTCCAAAAAATTAAATGTCCCAACGTTTCCACAGTGTGCAATAGCTGCTTGTCACAAGGATGTAGGCAATGGCAGAGAAGGTGGAACTTCAGGCACATACTTTTTCTCTCTTTAACACAGTACTGTTGAATGTAAACACAAAATATTAATGAAACAGAAGTGCAAAACATGGAGGAAAGGAACTGGGTATCATGTAAGAGTGATCTTGGGTTACCTGATTAAGGTTGCCAACCATTTTAAGTTCCTTTACCTGATGTTTGTGCAACCATTTACTGTTGAAGTTAACTTTTAAACTGCTCCTGTTCTAACTGATCGATACATTACATAGCACGCCTATGCATGTTTACTCAGATGTATATCCTACTGAGTTCAATAGGCTTACTCCCAGATAAATGTATATTGGATTGCAGCTTTAATCCAACAACTGAGAATGGTGAAAGCAGGCTAAAGGTAAAGGTAAAGGGACCCCTGACTATTAGGTCCAGTCGCAGACAACTCTGGGGTTGTGGTGCTCATCTCGCTTTATGGGCTGAGGGAGCCAGCATACAGCTTCTGGGTCATGTGGCCAGCATGACTAAGCCGCTTCTGGCGAACCAGAGCAGTGCATGGAAACACTGTTTACCTTCCCGCCAGAGCGGTACCTATTTATCTACTTGCACTTTGACGTGCTTTCGAACTGCTAGGTTGGCAGGAGCAGGGACCGAGCAACGGGAGCTCACCCCGTCACGGGGATTCGAACAGCCGACCTTCTGATCGGCAAGCCCAAGGCTCTGAGGCTAGACTGCAGGAAAAAAGTTAATGGGGGGGTATCTTGTAGGGTCATGTTAGGCAATAGGCCAAAGCAGCCTGCAGGGTGCAGTTTGCACACATCTGAACAAGAGGTAGAAAACAAGGACATGTGTCTTGGAGACTATGCATATTGCCCAGAGAATGAAAAAAAGTAGTCAAGATGTAGCTCAGCTGGTAGAGAATGAGACTCTTAATCCCAGGGTCATGGTTTTGAGCCCCATGTTGGGTGGAAGATTCCTGCATTGCAGGGGGTTGGACTAGATGGCCCTCGTGGTCCCTTCCAACTCTACAATTCTATTATGATACACACATTTCCTGAGGCCGCTTGAAGAGCTTGCCTAACAGCTGAAAATGCACAAAACGTACTTGGGATATGTGTATGTGTGTGTTAAATTTATGAACGGCCTTCCACATGACTCCCAAGGCAATTTACACAGTAACCAAAAAGAAGAAGAAGAAGAAAAACGAGAGCAGCTTTAAAAACAGTACAAAAAATGTCAACTAAAGACAGGTGATTATTCCGTAGTGTTTTAAAACCTAAGGTAGAGAGACCTTTTTCACCCAGCTGGAAAAGCTTGTCAAAACAAAAAGTGCATGGAAATAACCAGTGGAAGTCCAGTGATACATACTTCTGTGCTTTTCCTTCTGTACTTTTAATTGCTTCTGTCATCCCCCTAAGAACCAAGCTGCAGGGAAAGCCTTAAAGGGCACATAAGAGCATGCAGACAATGTAAGAAGGGAGCCCTGGTGGATCTAGTCCAGCATCCTCACCAAGAACTTCTCTTTGACAACATTTTCTTGTTCTTGCTTATGTTATTTAACCCATGCAATACCAGAGAGAGGTGGTGTGGTGGGGAGAAGAATGAATGACCCATATTAAAGGGCTTTCAAAAGGCCCCAAAGACAGTTTGGAAAGTCATCTGTTTCCATGCCCACCCTCGGCTTCATTTCATTCTGAAGCAATGCTGGAAAAGTTGGAAGAATGTATGGCAGGTGAGTGAGAAGGAAATATGCACCAAATGATCTTCGAGCGAACTGCTGTTTTGTTATTGTTTCTTCAGTTAGCACCATTTCAGGTCAGCACTTGCATTGCAGAAGACGATTTATTTCTGAGATAAAGTACAGTTAGAGTCCATTCCTGGAATTCACTCACTGCATTTAAGACAGTCTTTTAATCTCTCATCCTTGTGTTTTTGAACAGTGACCGCTGGTAACCGCTCACATGAGTCCACCTCATACAAACTCAATTTTCTAGACAGGGGCATATTTCCCAATGAGCCATTATATATATATATATATATATATATATATATATATATATAGACACAATGTTTGGATGAAAATCAGGGGATATCAACAACATATGTGCTTTCTGTCAACATAACAATTCTTATTTTCAGATGCACTTTTCAGCACTTGATAGTAAAAGAGGAAAAAGGTAAGAAAAGGGGCCTCACTTTTGCAGTGTCATGCTTAATTTTTATTCTAACTGAAATGTTATTAAGCTTTTCAGTGGATTAAAGATAAAACAAAAACGGGGTTCTGTGTATGGTCAGTGCAGGTGCCAAGCTATTTTGTGCCCTAGGGAAAGAGCCCTACCTGCACCCCCTGCCAAAACAAATTGCTAACTTCAATGTTTAAAAAGAGATGTAGAAAAAATGAAAAGCACAAAACTTGGAACTGCTAAATTTATTTTAAATTGCAACAATGAGTAATACAACAATCCTTGACTATCTTTCTCAAATACAAAATAAAAAGTTTTAGCATACAAATCATTTTGAATCAACGCTGTTTAAAAGTTTAGTCTCATAAAAATTTCAATTTCAGGTACATCAAAATCTCACTTTGTATGCCTTTTCCTTTGCAAATTTTGTCAGTATATGTAAGTATATGTAAGTATATGTATATGTAAGTATGAGTATATGTAAGCTTTTATAAATTTGGCTTTGAGAAATTGTGTTCACCACTTTCTACTGACACTGGAAGTATAAGAAGATTCCTTAGAGCAGCAGAAAACACACACACACACACACACACTTTCCTAAGTATTCCCCTTCATACAATGCATTTTTGTATGCTATTTTCAGTAATAATCAAACACTGTTTTCACAAAGTTGAGTTACTTTTTGTAAAATATATATATATATACATTTAATAAATAAAATAATAAAATAAAATAAAATATGCATTTCAATGCATACTTTAATCCTGGCAATGCATTTTTGTACACATTACTTGGCTGGAGATCTGCATGGCAAAATTCAGAGAAGTGTGAATTTCACAGGGTAGCTGTGTTTGCTTTTTTTGGGGGGGGGAGTGTGAATTTGGTAGGTTTACCTTTAAATACAAACTGCATCAAATTTCTCCCCCATCCCCACCCTTCAGCAAAACAATTTAGCATTACATGCAGTTGGCTCACATAAACTATCTTTAAGTGAGAAACATCCCCCCCCCCATATATTTAAAGCTCCTGTTGAAAAAAGAAAAAGACTGCTTTTATGCAGCGGCTCAGAGTTTTCCTTTGTCAACTGAGCTAACGTTTTGTTGAATGTAATGGATTTCACCACACAGGGGCAGGAAAGAGCTCTCAAACAAAGCAAACCTCTTCATCTAACAAGTGCAGCCTTAGTCCAGGTTCAAAGAAAGGAAGAAAGGGAATCCTTATTACCTAGCCCTAACAGATAACAGAATCACCCTGACAACTGCTTACACAAACATTTGTGCCCATAGCGCCAGCGCTTCCCAACTAAGATATTTGCTTTTCTGCTTATGAAGCTTTCATATTATGCTACCCAATTATTCTTATTATAGCAGCCATCTTCCATACTGCATAATCTTAGTCCTGCATGCAGAGGTTGGACAGGAGACATTTTCCATGGGATTTCCCTGCTCCTTGTCTAAAGACCTTCATTCAGAGTGTAGGCTATTCTCCTAATTCTTCAAAATCCTATTCGTTTAGGTCCTGCCTTCATCATGTTCCCCACCATTCATGACTTTCCTATACATGAGTCTTATTGCATGTATATTATATGGCCTGGATGGGAACTCTGGCTTGAATATTTGCAAAATTTAATTATTGTGATGAAAGACAATGAGCTCACCACCAAAAGAGCCATGTCTCTATTTTGCAGGTGGTGAAGTGCAGCAAACTTTCAAAACATTCCCTGACACAGGAGACAGTGATGATTAAGAAAAAGCAACTGTTTAAAACCACCCAAAAATACAGGCTTTGAGCGGCATAGTTTCTGACAGGCAGGGCGAACGTCATACCCATTTATGCCTCCTTGCACAGTCTGGTGACTTTGCAAACACAGGTCCTAAGATAAGAGCACAAATAATGCAAGGATGCTCTTCAGCAATACTCCAGAAGCAAATTTTCCGTAAGACCCAGATGTCGCTCGCCAAAATGTTGGACTCTGCTCAAGCAAACAAAATGTCAGAAAGACATGCCATGGAAATTGAGAAAGGAAGTCTCTTTAAAGAAATTGCACATATGCTTCAGAAGCATTCTAACCGGAAGCTGTTGGCGCATTCTCAAGGTAGCCATCCATCTTCCAAAGCACAGTGGAAGTCCTTCAAGACATCTCAGATAACCTGCTACAACTGTGGAGGGTTGTATCCCCATAAAGGCACTTGTCCAGTCACAGGAACAATCTGCCACAATTTGGGGGTCAGAAATTGCTACTCACCAAATTGGCTATTCACCAAATAGTTACAAGCCAAGCAAAAGAGAAAGGGGAGACATATGTTTGCACAGTATGCTCTGCACAAACAAGTGCTTCCAAACAGAATTGCCTGCGCTGTCATCACATTTAAATTCAAGGACGTAACACTGAAGTTTTACTTGACACGGGTGCATCCATGAATGTGACGACTCAATGTGCAAAAGATGTGTTCCCTCAGAAGCCACTACTACAGAGCACAACAGTAAATATATATTGCCTATGGAAATCCATGTTAATATCAGTGTTTGGGATGTTCTGAGCCCACTTTTCCAGAAGCATATCTGTTACAAGTCCAATGTATGTGGTAACTGATATCACTGATGCATTGCTTACCTGCAAGACAGCCAATGTGCTAGGACCGATTAAAATGATCCAGGCACATCTTGACAGACTGACTCAAACTCTCCAAACGTATGAAAGAAACATTTCAAGGAACTGGAAAGAAAACAAGTAAAATTTCAGATTGATGGCATTGTTCAACCAATGAGCCTACCAAACAAGACTTATTCCCTTCCGCATCAGCAAATAAGCTAAAGAAGAATCAAAACATTTAGAGAAGCTCCAAATTATTGACAAGGCGGCCCTACCCTTTTGATCTCTCCAATAGTAGTGGTCCAAATACCTAAACTACCAGGAAAAATCTAGATTTGTGTGAATATTCACCTCCCTAATTCATCCAAGAAACAAATGTGACACAGTACTCCTACTGTAGATGACAGTTCTAAATGTAAGTGATAACATTTCGGTGTTTGCTACCACGTCAGAGTGTTTGGTGTTTGCTGCCATATCAGAGGACCATGATAATCAACTTGAAGCAGTCTTAAAATGACTGCATGAGGAGAACCTGACACTAAACCAAAGCAAATGTGAGTTCAAAAATACCCACTTTTGAATGTTTTTGGCTGCATATTCTCCAAAGAATATGCTAATCTCCACAAGGTAACAGCTATACATAATGCTGTCGTACCTACTAATCCTACTGAGATTCAAAGCCTGTTAGACATTGCAAACAATTGTGGCCAATTTATATCAAGGCTACAATCTCACGGCGTCTCTGAGATCTTACAAAAATGGATCAAACATGGGAATGGCCAGAAAAGATTCGAACTGCTTTTATTGAGTTTAAAAATGCACTTGTGAGTAACCTTGTTATGTCGTACCTTGATCCAGGCAAGAGAACTGAACTTGCAGTGGATGCCAGCCTTGTTGACCTTGTTGCCTGTACTTTCACAGGTCTATCAAGATGTCCATGTTTCTGTTGCATATGCCAGCAAAGCTCTTTCTCCCACAGAACAGCGATATTCTTAGACAGAAAGAATGTCCATGATCTGGTAGCCTCTAGATTAGATTACCACGGTGTGTTATACATGAGGCTACCTCTGAAGATGGTTCAGAAACTTCAGCTGTGCAGAATTCAGTAGCCAGGTTGCTCACCAGGGCAAGAGGGTTTGAGCTTATAACACCAATACTGACCTGACTGCACTGGGTGCCAATTAGTTTCC